AATGGCTGAGTTAGAGAGGTTGACTGCCTCCCCTATAAGTATTAATTCCAGAGACTCTTCTGCACCCAAACCACGTGCAGAGAATTTTCCAACTTTGGACAAAGATGGTGATTTGGATGTTTTCCTGCGCAGTTTTGAAAAAGTTTGCAGGCAGTACCAGCTACCAAAGGACCAGTGGGCAAAATACCTCACCCCTGGTCTCAGAGGTCCTGCACTGGAAGCATTTGCTGCGCTTCCAGCAGAGTTTGACCAGGACTATGATGCGATTAAGGCTGCCTTGCAAAAACAGTACAACCTTACTCCTGAGGTGTACCGAAAGAAATTCAGGACTTTGCAAAAGCATCCCACAGAAAGTTATGCAGCAGTTGTGGGGCACCTGGCGACAGCATTCCGACAGTGGACTACAGGGCTGGAGATTACCACTTTGGAAAGTTTGCAAGACCTGTTAATAAAAGAACAGTTTTTGCAGCTCTGCCCAGCTGATGTAAAGGAATGGTTGCTGGACAGGAACCCCAAAACGGCATTGGAGGCGGGTGAGCTGGCAGATTTCCACACTGCCAATCGAGCAACAGTGGACCGGAGCAGAGGTTTTGCCAAGGGAACATCCAGCTGGAGGACCACACCACCACGACTCCCCATCACCAGGCCTAGCGGGCCATCTTTTGTTTCAGCTCCTACCTCAGGGAGAGGGGGAGCTAGTGCCATGTCTGCGCAAGGAGATAGTCGCAGATGTTTTATTTGCAACCAAGTGGGGCACATTAGTGTTGCTTGCCCTGGGAAACGGCAGCCAGCATCATCAGCTGGGGAGGGACGCTCCTCAGAACCAACGTCCTCTGTGTTGTTTGTAACCAGATCAGAAGGCAGCAACAATGTGAATCTGCAACCTGTGACAGTTGGAAGAGAGGTAACTGTGGGACTCAGGGACACTGGGGCAGATGTGACTCTTGTGCGTCCAGAGCTAGTGCGCTCTGAGGAGTTAATTCCTGGCAGGACTCTAGCAGTTAAAGGAATTGGGGGGGTACGACTTGTAGTGCCAATGGCACGAGTTTATTTGGATTGGGGAGCGGGGAAGGGTTTCAGAAATGTGGGGGTAGATGAGAATATCCCTGCAAATGTATTACTTGGTACTGACTTAGGTAGATTGTTATCACAGTATGTGCCAGAAAGTAATGTATGTTATAAACCCAAGCCTCATAGGGGCCCTACTGTGCAGAGGGCAGTATGTGAAAATGTATGCAGACAATTGTGCTGGGAGGGAGGGCAGAATAAGCATGTGTGCGGGTCTGTGCCTGAACCAGAGGTGTTTGCAATATCATGTGAGAGTGTGCCAAGACAGAGTTGCTGGGAGGGAGGGCAGACTGAGCATGTGTGCTGGTCTGTGCCTGAACCAGAAGTGTCTGCAATATCATGTGAGAATGTGCCAAGACAAAGTTGCTGGGAGGGAGGGCAGAATGAGCATGTGTGCCAGGCTGTGCCAAAACCAGAGTTGTCTGTGGTACAAAGTGAATGTTTGCCAGGACAACTTCACTGGGAGGGAGGGCAGAATGTGTATCAATCTGTGCCTGAACCAGGGGTGTCTGTGGAAACAGGTGAAGGTGTATGCCGGCAATTGTGCTGGGAGCGAGGGCAAATTGAGCATGGGTGCGTGTCTGTGCCAGTACTAGGGGTGCCGGCAATACCATGTGTGACTGGGCAAAAACAGCTGCACAGCGAGGCGGGGCTGGATGAGCGTGTGTGCCTATCGGTGTCAGAGCCAGGGTTGTTTAAGATGCCATGTGAAAACACAAGTGGATCAAACCATTGGGAACCAGGGCAGGATGAGTTGATGTGTTCACCTGTATCTCAGTCAGGAGTATGTCAGGTGCCAGAACAAGGACAAAGTGAGTGGCTATGTGAGATTATGGAAGGATGGCCTGGCTGGGAGAGGAAATTACGTGAGTGTGTTTCACATCCAGTGCCTGACCAAGGGGTGCTAAAGGTGTTATGTGACAATGTGCAGGAAGAGAATTCTAGAGAGAGAGGGTTGAATGAATATGTGTGCCAAAATCTGCCTGACGCCAATGTATTGGCTGGGCTGTGTGAAAGTGTGAAGGGAGAGCATGGCTTTGAGGGAGGGCAGAGTGTGTGTGAGCCTTACTCTGCACAAGACTCAGCCAGTTCCCAAGGTGCTGTGTGTGTGAGGACATGGAGAGGAGGTGAGGGAGAGACAGAGGTTCCATCAGTAGATAGGGGGACCCGTCCACGGTCTGCCCAAAGTGAGGGGCATGGACAGTCTCAACCTGTGGGTCCAGGGAAAATGGCCGCAGGGGAACATACTGATGGGGGAACCACCCTCCTTGTCAGCATATCACAATCACACCTCCAACATACACCCAAGCCAGCTCAGGAGAAGGCGTCTGTCTCTAAGCAACTTTTTGATTCTGAACCAAAGGTTCAGAGTAAAAAGGTGCAACGAGCCCAGCAGACAGACCACAAAATAAAACAGATAAGGAGTGTGGATACAGTGCAGGTACCCTGGGAGTGTCCTCTGTCTCATCTTGTGTGTGCTTACAGGGGAGTACTGCAGAAATCGGTTGGTTTCTTCCCCTTAGAGCTACTACACGGGCGCAGTGGGTGTGGCCTGAGAGATGTGATCAGAGCGCAGTGGGAGATGGAAACAGGCAAATCAGGCATGCGTGTTGTGGATATGGCTGTGATATGGCTTAGGGACAAAGGGCAAGCCTTTTTGGGGGAGGTGTGTGAACACGTGAGGGTTACCCCATTCATGTAGAACCAGAGTTCTGAAAAAGATGAGTATATGAGGTGGAGGCAAAAAAGGAACAAGTGTTGATACACAAGGTAGAGGCATGTGAGCCTTCTCCCATTGCGTCTCTTATTTGGGGGAGGTGTCACGGCAAGGGTGTATAATTTATTATGACACTATGGAATATCATCTTTTAATGTGATTTCTTGTAGTAAATGGCACAAATTACAGAGATGCTATTGCTGAGGTCAACAGGGGTTACATCTTTTGAAGCTGGGACCCCCACAGAGGGCAGATGACAGAAGGGGTAGTGTGAATGGCATAGGAATGTGAAAAGGATTTTACTGTATGGATGTGAAGTCTGCAAGGTGTGAGGTTCTACACTTGGAAAAAGTCTGAATGTCTCTTCATCCACTTGGCCTGTACTTTGTAAGTGGTGAGTAAATCTCTTTGATATGTAAATGCCATTAGCTTTGTTCTAGTATCATATCCAAATGAAGGACAAAAAACATTCATATTTACCCCCACAGAATAATAATTAAGCCTCATTTTTGTTATATTTGGAATGTGACAAGCGCCATCTTCTAACCAAGTCCAAACATGAGTGGCCTAACTTGACCCTAGGGAAAGGAATTGTGATGTCCGTCCTATTGGATCGTGGGTGGGACGTGCAACATGTCTATGGAATGGGAAAATAATAACAAATTTGTAGATGCAATTATTATTTCTGTGGCAGGTACAAAAAAGAAGATAGAGTCAAATGTTTCCATTTGGATTGACAGTGGTCTGGAACAAAGGAGGTGGTCAGTTATTATTACTGTAGGTACGCCTTAACTCCACCCCTGGGCAAGACTTGATAAACCACAGGGTATATATCTAATGATCCTGAAGGGTGTTGGTGTACTTGCTTGGGGCCAAGATCTAATTTTGAGTGAGTCACCACGTTTCCTTGCCAGAGACCCCCTGGACAGAAGTTGTACTTTGAAAACCTAAGTGAGTAATTAGGACTTCTGTATTTTATCCTTTTTGTTTTTATCTGTTGTTGGTGTAAATAATTTGTTTATCATATATTTTTATATGCACTGTGACTATCTTTTGCTCATAATAAACATTCATTTATTAAGTTTTGCCTTTGTCTGGTTAAGGATCACGTTACCTGAAGAGACTAGTTAGTATTTTTATAATTCCTTAAATATTGTATTAAGTAATATTTGGTGGGTTTTATTATTGATTTACCTGGGGGACCAAGGCACCCCATTTATAAATTGTCTTGGTGGTGGCAGCGTTAAAGTAGTAATAGTTATATTATTATGTTTAAGTGTGGGTGGTGTTAAAGGGGGATTTTGTCATTATTTCCGGTCTAGTGCAGACAAATAGTGTACTTTAACCCTTTCACCACCACAACTACGTCACGCACACTCTTGGAGTAGGGTGCGTTCGTGACAGCCCAGTCTGAAATCAACTGTTTCACAAGCAAAGAATATTGTGGCAACATATTACCAAGGCATGACTGTATTTTAAGGAGATCCATATCATCTCCAGACTTTAAACCTGCCTCATCCTTCCAACACTTGTAAAATCTCTTTACAAAAACACCAATCTCTTCCTTTGCACCTTGCTTACATGCCAAAGCAGTGGATATAGACTGCTTATTCTTCCATAATCTCAACATTTCAGCTTCCACCTCATCCCACATTTTAGCACATCCTGCTGGAGTACTAAGCTCATAAACACCATCACTGCCAGCCACTCCAACTCCAGTACCGTTGTCTGTCTCACTGATAGAGGGTACATTAGACCAATTCCAACCTGAATCTGAATCATACCCTAATATTCCATTTATAATTAACTGTATGTCTATCTGTGTCATGTTCTGTCCTAAGCACATTCTTTTCAAATACATTAGGCATGCAGAGGGATTAGTACGGGGGTTTGGGGCACCTTGAATAATGTCCTTGAGTACTCCGGGACTAATGGGTTTCATTATTAACTGATTACCAACAGTCATAAATGGGGCAGTAAGATCAGCACCTTCTAATTCTGGCATCTCTACATCATCATTACCTTGCTTATGTACATATGATTTTAACACCTTGCCACTTTTAAGTTTAACTCCTGTTTGTACTGTTAATTTAATTGTACCAGGAGGTGGCGGTGGGTATTCTATATCAGAATCTGGTGTAGATTATGATTCCTGTAATTGCTGTGATTGTGAATTAACAGCTGCAGCAATAGAAATATCTTCTATATCATCCTCTGAGGGGGCATTAGGTACAGCAGGATACATTGCTTTATAGGGAGGTGGGGGTTGTGGTTGGGCATGGCCGGGGGCTGACTGGGTAGGGGGCACAATTGGTGGTGGATATAGATTCTCAGGAGGGGCGTCTATAGGAAAGCGGATAGTATTACTGTCAACAGTTCCCTTTCTCTTAGCCAGGTGTTTCTTAGCTCCCTTTAAAACCTTTCCTGTTACACTACAAGGAAACCAATGAGGGGCTATCAGCAACCAATTTTCACCTCCTGCTTTCATATATTCCTTATCCCAATCTGGATCAGGACCATACCACGGCCATGACTTCCTATCGCCCAAACACAATCCTCGAATCATATTCATATGGAAATCATCATTAGCCCCACACCTAGGAAAAGGATCAGATGATTTCATAGTCTCTGTCCATCCTGCTAAATTTGACACAAAGGGGATTGTAAGAAATCCTCCTTGTGCTCCTATTCTAGTAACATAATTTAGACATGACTCCCCTGGGTGGGGTAAAGGGTAAGAAATAGACTGATTATTTCCCATATTTCTGGCTCAGGGTAGAGACACTACCTACTTACCAATAGTGTGTCTCTACTTAACAAGCAAAATAAACATAAAGCAGACACAGGGTGACCAAAGGAACGAGAAGTTTGGGTTATTCTAGATCTATAAACCGTGATCCCTAGAACACCTATAGTCTTAATAAACCGGAGACTCTTTTATAGTCTCAAAACCTGTATCTACCTGAGATACCTTGTATCTATCTTAGATACTAACCTGGGTTACCAAAACCCTATATATATTTAGACCAAATGTCTAATAAACCGGAGACCTATTTACAGTCTCAATATAACTAAAGTCCTTACACCTTTCCTTTCTACTGGATACAGACTTACTAAACCAAAGGGGGTCATAGACAATTAGCGTCAATAAGACACAAAAAGGCTACTCACCCAATGGTTTTGCTGATCCCACTTCTAGACATCAAGCTGAAAGGGTAAATGCTGTTCTGGACTCAACTCCCCTCAATTCTCGATCCTCCGATCACCACATCAATTGACGGGAGAGACTTGCTTAGCAAATAACAGACAGACACGAAAAGGTGCTTAACAAGTTCTCAATGAGTATATTTTCAGGGCTAGCATTTATACACAGTTTGTCATGCAAGCAGTGAGATCTATAGTGTCCTTGTAGTTAATAGTACATACTTGTCGGACATGAAAAAGATAAGCATTTGGATAAAGACGAGACAGGAACATCCTAAGGTCAAGGAAGGTCATACATCCTGTAGAGGAAAGACCTTGGTACAAAATACATCTGCCAAAGTCAGCATAATTATTTCAAACATTATTTTAAAGCATATAAAGCAAAAAGAGTTAACCATTTCACTTCCTTACATGAAGGAAAGACCACTTTTTTTTTATTTAACAGCTGTGTGAACATGTAGTGTACATCCTAGTCAAAACAGTGAAGCACATGTTTGAGGGATGGTTGGTGATGTAAGAGACCATCCTTTTCAGGTGCAGCTGGGGGAGAATTTGTCCTTGTTGGGGGCAGGTAGTCTTACCTGTATGAGAAAATAAACAGCATAGTAAAGGATGCATTGTTTTGTAAATGTAATTGCCTAAACTAATTAATTTGTGGAGTGTTTTTCAGTTTTTATATCCAGGACTTAGAAATTACAGGATATGTTTTCAGGAACTGGTAACAAAAGAAGAGAAAAAATGGTAAAATAATTCCTTGTTGTCCTATTTTGTCTGGTTAGAATATTTTAACAAGTTAGCATTTTTAACAAAGTAAGTGTATGGGCTCAGATTGAGATTTATATTCTTTTAGAAGCCATCTATATAACTGATTTAAATATTTCCATCCTATAAACTGTGTCTGGAGAAAGGGGAGCATACCCAATAGTTGTTGTGCAGTTCTATCCTGTAATTGAAATCCTGTATTACTTATAAGTAGCCTTTTGTAACTTATTAGTAATAGTTTACATATATTGCTCTGGGAAAGGGATAAGCAAAATCTCTGAGAGACCAGGAAATATATAATATAAGGACGTATTACACTAGTGGTAGGGTGACCTATCATGACCATAGAGACCCTTGGTGACTAGTTTTTGTTGTATATTGCCTGGGAAGGGGATAAGCTATTTAATTGAAATTTCTGAGAGACCAGGAAATATACAATAAATTAAACATGAGTGTACTGGTTAAATTGCATACATATTGGCCCATAACCTTTAATCGAGCCGGAAAAGAGGTTGCTGTATGTTTGCAACTCTATAATTTTGAGGGGGCAGTCACCCCCATGCGGGGTGGATAGTTGTGCAGGCCCTTAGCCGCGAGGTGCAGACATGTCCTTGGAAAGGCAAAAAATTAATAGGGAGTCACTCATAGCTGCCAGAAGTTTTGAACTTTGAGACATATTGACCTATAGTCTTTCATCAGAGACGGAAGAGGTGTTGTGGTTCACTCCTCTATAATTAAGTGTCCGGAGAAGGGGGAGCAGACCCAATAGTTGTTGTGCAGTTAAATTGCAGATATATTGGCCCATATCCTTTAATCGAGCCGGAAAAGAGGTTGCTGTATGTTTGCTCCTCTATAATTTTGAGGGGGCAGTCATCCCCATGCGGAAAGCCACTGCCACCACAGGGTGCATTGTTGTGCAGGCCCTTAGCCGCGAGGTGCAGACATGTCCGTGGAAAGGCTAAAAATTAATAGGGAGTCACTCATAGCTGTCAGAAGTGTTGAACTTTGAGACATATTGACCTATAGTCTTTCATCAGAGGCGGAAGAGGTGTTGTGGTTCACTCCTCTATAATTAAGTGTCCGGAGAAGGGGGAGCATACCCAATAGTTGTTGTGCAGTTAAATTGCATATATACTGGCCCATAACCTTTAATCAAGCCGGAAAAGAGGTTGCTTTATTTTTGCTCCTCTATAATTTTGAGGGGGCAGTCACCCCCATGTGGAAAGCCACTGCCACCACAGAGTGGATAGTTGTGCAGGCCCTTAGCCACAAGGTGCAGACATGTCTGTGGAAAGGCTAAAAATTAATAGGGAGTCACTCATAGCTGTCAGAAGTGTTGAACTTTGAGACATATTGACCTATAGTCTTTCATCAGAGGCGGAAGTGGTTCACTCCTCTATAATTTATCCAAATGGTGGAGAGTTATTAAACTTGTTTAAGTTGGCTAGAAATTTATTCTGTGTACTCTTGAATTGCAAAGAAGCTGCAGAAAGCAGCTGTTAGCTGATTGTTTATTTTAAGAGCCGATTAGAAAATGAAGAATGTTACCTTGTTGAACAAATTGTTTATAAAATGAAAAGTTGAAAGAATGTATTTATATGTGTGATATGTGTGATATATATATATATATATATATATATATATACTAAGTAAAATTTGGCAGTATATGCTGTAAGTGACTAGGAAAAGTAATCCTGATCTGTTTTCTTACCTTTTTCAGATATAGCAAAAACCAGGGGTGGACATTGGAACACAGATAGAATACCAGATGGAGACCAGTGTTTAAATGTTGACCTATGATTAGCTATTGAATGTGTTTTATTTTATTGTGTCTATTTAACATGTCTATGCTATGATTTTGTGCA